GACCGGACAGCCCTTAGAAGAGGGCCCCCGACCCCATACTCTCGGAGCACCCCCCACAGAATACAACGAGGGACACGGTCGAAAGCCTTTTCCAAATCCACAAAACACATGTGGACCGGTTGGGCAAACTCCCATGAACCCTCAAGCACCCTGTGGAGGGTATAGAGCTGGTCCAGTGTACCTTGACCAGGACGAAAACTGCATTGTTCCTCTTGAATCCGAGGTTCGACTATCGGCCGGATTCTCCTCTCCAGTACCCTGGAATAGACTTTTCCCGGGAGGCTGAGGAGTGTGATCCCTCAGTTGAGGTCAACAGCCACCCCAATACATACGGCCGGATGCCAGATGACACAACTACAAAGTCGATCATTGACCTCCGGCCTAGGGTGTCCTTCTTCTTCTTTGTTATATAAAAATTAGGGGTATATTCAGTGACATCCCTATAAGGCTTTTGAGACTATTTCCCCTTTCCTATATACACTATATTACCAAAAGTATTCGCTCACCTGCCTTGACTCATACTATGAACTGAAGTGCCATCCCATTCCTAACCCAGAGTTCAATATGATGTCGGTCCACCTTTTGCAGCTATTACAGCTTCAACTCTTCTGGGAAGACTGTCCACAAGGTTGAGGAGAGTGTTTATAGGAATTTTTGACCATTCTTCCAAAAGCGCATTGGTGAGGTCACACACTGATGTTGGTCGAGAAGGCCTGGCTCTCAGTCTCCGCTCTAATTCATCCCAAAGGTGTTCTATCGGGTTCAGGTCAGGACTCTGTGCAGGCCAGTCAAGTTCATCCACACCAGACTCTGTCATCCATGTCTTTATGGACCTTGCTTTGTGCACTGGTGCACAGTCATGTTGGAAGAGGAAGGGGCCCGCTCCAAACTGTTCCCACAAGGTTGGGAGCATGGAATTGTCCAAAATGTTTTGGTATCCTGAAGCATTCAAAGTTCCTTTCACTGGAACTAAGGGAACTAAGCCCAGCTCCTGAAAAACAACCCCACACCATAATTCCTCCTCCACCAAATTTCACAGTCGGCACAATGCAGTCTGAAATGTACCGTTCTCCTGGCAACCTCCAAACCCAGACTCGTCCATCAGATTCCCAGATGGAAAAGCGTGATTCATCACTCCAGAGAACGCGTCTCCACTGCTCTAGAAGCCAGTGGTGGTGTGCTTTACACCATTGCATCCGACGCTTTGCATTGCACTTGGTGATGTGTGGCTTGGCTGCAGCTGCTCGGCCATGGAAACCCATTCCATGAAGCTCTTTGCGTACTGTACTTGGGCTAATCTGAAGGTCACATGACGTTTGTTGCTCTGTAGCAATTGACTGTGCAGAAAGTCGGAGACCTCTTTGCATTATGCGCTTGATTTTATACACCTGTGGCCAGGCCAAGGGATTAGGACACCTGATTCTGATCATTTGAATGGGTGAGCGAATACTTTTGGTAATATAGTGTATGTCTTAGCTGTCTCAGTATCGAGTCAATATAAGATGGGACTATTGCATAGCTATATTATTATAGATATATAGTACATATGTAATTTGAAAATAAGCATTTGGCTCATGATATGATATACAGTATGTGCTCCAAGTGTTTTGTTTTGCAACAATCTAATTTTTAGCCCTTAAAATGCATGTAATCTGAGAAAAAAATTAATTAAACAGTAAACGTCGTTATCTTCCCAAAAATTAAAGAGATTTGTTTTTAATTTTGTAATAGAATTTTGCTTTTCCTTTTCCCCACAGTCATTCCTTCACATTGATCCTTTTTTAGTCATTGATGATCTTTTTTGCATAATTTTAAAATATGATTTGAAACATGATAAAGGATATGCAGGGCTTATAATATATTATGTCAGTGATATGGGTTTTATATTAATAGATGTGGTTGTGTTTATATATTTGAGCATTTTATTGTTGATATGTTCCTAATCACTAGTCTTACCATTGGCCAGATGTAATAAAATTAAGAATGCTCCTGCATTTTCCTCATTAATATTTTATCAGTGAAGTCTCACTGTTATTCAACACAGCCAAACTTTGTTTGCTGTAGTTCCTCCCTGCTTAATTATGTTTGTTCTGTTCTGTTTTGCAGTGAGTCTGCACGGTTTATCTGAAGGATGGACACATTGAGCCCCACCATTAACCGGCTGCAGGAAGTCTTCCTCAGAGTGGGCGCAGAGATCATACAGCTGCCTCAGATTGTTGTGGTGGGATCTCAGGTCAGCCAAGAAAAACAACTACAGATATGTTGTCCAATAGTAATTATCTGTAACCATTTCTTATATGATCCTGAGCTGTTGATTGTTGAACATATCCTTAAGTAAAGTACATGTTTCTGTGCTGCACTGATTACTGACACCAACTATGTTAGCAGCGCTGGACACATACCATGCATTTACTTCATCCTGACTGGACTATTGCACTGGTCTTGTAACCTGAGTGAACTTGTTTGAATACAGACTGTTAAAACCTGGCTGCCAGACCGTAGACTGAAGCTGAGAAATGCAAGCATATCATCCTGTTCTCATGGGCTCTCTGCCTCTATGTATAATTTTTAGGTTTTATTACCTACTTCTAAGGTTGATTACTTTTAACTTTTCTCCATGGACTCTATCAAATGTGATTGTATATATTTGCTTTTTACTTAAGTTCTGTTCTGCTTTTATTCCATGACACATTATGTTGATAAAATGTGTCAATTTGTGTGCCTCTCACTTTTGTCTTTTAATGTTGTGAAAAAAAATCTTCTATAACAAATTTTTCATCCATTTTCATCCGCGTATCCGTTACCAGTCTCCATGACCGCCGCCCAAATCAGACTGCACCGCATCAACCCCCTGAACCTTCCTGCGGGTGGTGAGTCCACTGGAAGGTATCAACCGCCCTAACCGGGATTCGATCATTGCCTCTTGGCCAAAGCGCCACTTTCACATTATTATTATTATTATTAACATTATAATTATTGTGTGATATCACAGAGCAGTGGAAAGAGCTCAGTGTTGGAGAGCCTGGTTGGAAGGGACTTCTTACCTCGGGGATCGGGAATTGTCACAAGACGACCACTGGTGTTGCAACTCATCAGTGTTGCCCCCCTAAAGGAGCGACTGAAGCTCGATAATGGTAATGAAACGTAAACCAGTGCTTTCGCTTATGGGTAGGAGTTGTTTTTTTGGAGTATTTAGTCAGTATTTAGATATTTTTGACTGAGTGTTTTGGCAGATAAAAAAATACTACTGGTCTGTTATTTAGCCCAACAGGCTAGGATCTAGACAAAGGTATAGTTCACTTTTAAATTTAAACAGTGGTTGCTCTGGTTACAGAGAATTGTCAGTGCTACCACAATTTAACATTATTCTTCCAAACACTTGGTTTGCATCATTTACTACTCACCAGTGCTGATATAACAGTGTAAGGTTAAGTACATATCACTAGAATCAGCTTGAAGAATAGATAATTCAAGACACTTTACACCTTTATCCACTACTAAAACTGCTGTCTATTGTACTTCTAGATTCTACTCCTCACTGACATACAGTCTTTCTTCCTGCTTCTTTTTACTACTTTTTCAGGAAATGTGGAAACGCTGAGAGCTCTTACCCTCTGTGGAGCTGCACACCTCTATTGTTTCCCTCCTTTACATTTTAAAGTCAGAAAATATCATGAACTAAGAGATGAACATGAATATCACAAAATAAATTCATGTGAAGGGTCCGAATGGACACATTGTACTTAGATTTTCCCTGATTCCTGATAGCATTTTGACCTCATGATGTAGTATATATGAGCACATTTGCCTCCACCAGATCCATCAGTTTTTACTACATCTTGAAGGTTAATAGAGTGTTAACAGCCTATAATGTTGCCTTTATAGTACTTTCTAAAGATTGGATTGATCGATGATAAGAGGCTGACTGTCGTAATAAGAGCATGATTTGATCTGATGAGGGCAGCATTAAGCATTCAACATGTTTCTTTAATATTTCATGATAGGTCACGGTTGACACATTTACCAGATTTTGTAATTAAGCACACAGTCTTGCCTTCACTTCCCTCATCATTCTGATCATCTAATCTAACACTCACTCTCCTCGGAGTCAGCATGACATCAACATTCAGAAGAGTCAGAAGAGGTACGCTGAAGGATGAGCAGGCCTTCCTGTAGCGACACTATCCCTCGCCTTCCTCCCGTGCCGGTTCACGCTATGTGGCCAATACTTGCTGTTAACCCTTGTAAGGTCTAATATGTCTTTGTGTGTGTGTGCGCATGTGCGTGCGTGCGTGTGTATGCATGTTCCTGTACTGCATGACTTGTGCCAACTTTTCCTCATATTCAACAAACGGTGTGTACAAAAATAGGAAGGGTCTAGGTGACCCGGGGACTTTACAAGGGTTAAACCTGCTGCAATGTCACAAAGCCCACAATGTACTCAAGGAGTCATGTAAGAAATAAATGGAGAAAAAGGATGAGTGAGCAACATAGTATATTCAACATAAACCAATGGCTATACATTAGAAGGTAATTATAGGGCTAATTTCAACAGTACCGTTCCACCTATACATTATACATGTCATTGCTATAACAATAAACAACAATAAATACTCAGGCTCATTTGTTCTTGAGAAATACTTCATTGAAAAGGCATTGTTTTTTTTCCTCTGAAGAGAAATTAGTTTACATCAGAAATGTAAATCAACACTGAAACATTAAGTCATGTATTTATTACCCCATGTTACAGGGCACACACAATGTTCAAGTATGCCTGAGGAACTAAATGGAGCAATTAAAAAAGGAATAAGAGAGAGATAGAGAGTGAGAGAGAGAAAAAAAGATAAAATGCATTTTAAAAATATGTAAACTGGCAATGCATTTCACAAAAAAAAAAATCATTAAGCTCAGTACTTTGGAACAAATTCATTGTAAAGTGCTAACTGGTTCGAGCTGAGAAAAGCACACGTTCTCTTTTTGAAAAGATTATACACATTACTTTATACATGGAGGTACAGTAAAAGCCAGTCGGCAGGCGAGCAATTACCAACCAGAAGACATGGACCACATTTCATTTATCAGACCTTTAATAAGACCTTTATACCTTTATATTGCCAGTTACATTGCCATTTACAAATGCTGGTGTCGTCACTGTACAATTTCTCCTGTGCTCCTTTGTAACTACATGCAATTGACTGACATACAGTATTAAAAATCTGAAGTCAAGTCCTTCTGAATCCTCATATGGACAGGAGTCCTTGAACCCCTCCTGGATCTGGTGGACTGGCCTGACAAAAGCAGGGATCTGTCCAGTTGATGCCTGCCTTCCTCTGCAGGTCCTGAGAATCCACTGTTTTCCTTTTTGTGCCTCATAATCAGAGGCATGTTTTATTTAAAAAAAAACAAAAGAAAAATAAAATAATATGGAGGGGACTGGGTCAATAAACTTCTCCCCTACCGTCCACCTGAAGTAAACATTCGCCCTCCCCACCCCAATCCTAACCATAAAAAGGTAGAAACTAGGTGTATTGCAGAATGGCTTTACTCCTCACAGTCTGTGGGGGGAGCTAGAGCCCCTAGGAGCTGAGGTGCGGTTGGTGGTCTTGCAGCTGTTCTGTCGTGTCTGATTCAACTTGGTGGCAGAACGTTTCCGAGCATCAGGCTGGCGCCTCCCCTGGGGGCCCCTCCGTTTGCCCCTCTGCCCTGCACGGCCCATTCCAGCCCCCGCTGGTCACTTGCGTGAGTGCAGTGTGTCCTGGAACTTGGTGCTGGTGTAGCGGACGTGGAATCCCTTTTTGTTGATGGTGTCGTCGGAGCGGAACTTGATCACAATGGAGTCTCCGGCCGAGTAGATCTCCTCTGGAGGCTGTCAGGAGAGAAACCACAAACACATTCATTTAACCCTTGTGCGGTCCTTCACATTTTTGTACACACTGTTTGTACTTGCAATGATTTTCATCTTGTCCCAGAATATGAGTATTAATGAATATGAGGAAAAGTTGGCACAAGTCATGCAGTGCAGGAACATGCACACGCACGCATACTCATGCACGCACACACATACACACACACACAGACACAAAGACATATTGGGTCTAGGTGACCCACTAAGGACTTTACAAGGGTTAAGAGATTCTTAAGCAGTTGCTATATGCACAGTCTCTCCCATCTCAGCAGCTGAAGCTTGTAACTCCTTCAGAGTAGTCGTAGGGGTCTTGGTTGGTTCTCTCACTAGTCTCCTACTTGCACGGTCACTTAGTTTACGAGGGCGGCCTGATCTAGGCAGATTCACACAAGTGCCATATTCCTTCCATTTCTTGATAATGGATTTCACTGAACTCCGGGGGATGTTCAATGCCTTTGAAATTTTTTTTGTATCAATCCCCTGAATTGTACTTCTCAATCACCCTTTCCCTGAGTTGCATGGAGTGTTCTTCTGTCTTCATGGTGTAATTGCCGCCAAGAATACTGATCCACCAGTCTGGACCATTCGGACACAGGTGTTTTATACCTCAATCACTTGAAGCACACCCACAACACTCAGGTGATCTTCATTTCACTAATTGTGAGACTATTGGCAAGAATTTGATGGACCTCTATTGAATTAGACCATTTACTTAAAAAGGGGGTGATTAATTATGCAAACAATTATATTTCTTTATATATTTTTATTTCATTGACATTACTTTGTAGAAATCTGTTTTCACTTTGACATTAAATAGTTTTTTCCAATAAATTCTTGTGTTAAAAAAACCTAATTTTATTGACCATGATTGATTTATGAAAGCACTAAAAGGGTAAAACATCCAAGGGGGTGAATACTTATGATAGGCACTGTATATACAGAAAGTCTGAATAGTATATACAAAAAATTGAAACCTTTTTGACCACAGTGCCCCAATCGTGAAACCATTAAGCGGAACAATCAAGCATGCGCGGATCCCTCTTGTCATTATCCGAGTCAGTCTCGTTGCTGTTGACCCTTGTAAAGTCCTTCCTGTCTTTGTATGTGTGTGTGTGTGTGTGCGTGCATGAGTATGCGTGCGTGTGCATTTTCCTGTACTGCATGACTTGTGCCAACTTTTCCTCATATTCAATAATACTCATATTCCGGGACAAGATGAAAATCATTGCAAGTACAAACGGTGTGTACAAAAATGTGAAGGTCCGCACAAGGGTTAATTAGCTGTTCAGTGATGATTCCGGCCTTTGTGAAAGTTCGGACATTTGAGACTGATGCCTTAGCCCTGGCATCAATGATCGATTAACAGATAGTAGCGTAACTCGCCCGCCGTTGCCTTCCTGTCTTGCTGAATGTGTGTGCTGAATGCCATCTGTCATCCAGTGCTCCCACGCAGCTCGCAATTTAACTTCGAACGCCCTGTTAACACCAATATTTAGCGGTTGGAATTCTTTGGTTAATCCACCCGGAATGATGGCAAGCCCCGAATTAGTTTGCTTCACTTGGGTTTTGACAATATCGATGAGATGGGGCGCATGGAGTCGCAGATCAATAGGGACGGAGATTTGTGGAAAAGAGCAGTGACCTAAGTTGGACGCTGGAGGGCGCTGTTGCTGTTTGGAATGAATTGTGCCAGTTTATTTTCGATTCATTTTATAAAAGGAAACTTGATTGAAGAGTGGCTCTTCAGGGGCTCCAGGGTGTTATATACCCTCCAGCGAATGATTCACAGGAACAGGCATGACTAAAAGGCCAGATTGTATTACTGAAGTGTATAAATGAAATCAAACTGTTCCCTGATCCACAGAAACTGCTGTTTCTATTTTCTGCTGCTCACACTTCCTGACTGCAGCTGCAGCCTCAACATTGGATGATTAATTTGAATTTACAACCCAATGCCAGAGACTTTAATAGGCTATCGGCACCAAGGGAGTGACGGCTGGTGTCGGCCAACAACCGCCTCCTCGACATTACATTAAATTTATGTCTTTGTGTCTGTGTGTGTGGGTGTGTGTGTGTGCGTGCGTGCATGAGTATGCGTGCGTGTGCATGTTCCTGTACTGCATGACTTGTGCCAACTTTTCCTCATATTCATTAATACTCATATTCTGGGACAAGATGAAAATCATTCCAAGGACAAACGGTGTGTACAAAAATGTGAAGGACCGCACAAGGGTTAACAAAGCAATTAAAATATAGAGTGGAAGCAAAAGCTCCAGGGTGGTTCAAATTACCAACTACTGCTGAAGGTTATTCAACAGCAGAGCTTGTTCTAAAAACAACAGTCTCAATTCTCCTGTTGTTTTGCTGCAAAAACTGAAAATAAACAGGCTGAAGTCAACAGAGAAAAGACATTTTCTTACCCCTGAGCCACAATAACGCCCCAGCCTTGGAGATTTGGTGTCGTCTCCATCGAAGAGCTCCATGTAGTCATAGTCGCCCCAGTCGGCCTCTTCTTCTATCTCAAAGGTCTGGAAGATGAGCTCCACGCCGTAGCCCTTCTCAGCAGAGATCACCCACTCACAGTCTGAGGCTCCAGGATAGTTGTTGTCTCCAAACTGGGCATGGGAGAACAGGTCCTTGGTTTTGACTTCGGCTTTCAGGTGACCTCCACACTCTGTATGGAGAGAACAGAGAGAGATGTGTCTGGGATTGTGGGAAGATAACAAATTGTTCTATTCTGTGGCTCATTTGTTTTCCTTTACAGTCATCCACGCACAAATGACTCTCAGCTCGGCTCTGTTTTTATTATGAGTCATGATCATTCTCAGACAGGATGGTGGTTGTTCTTCAATGTACTGCATTAAATATGAGCCCGTAGAGATGAAAGATAATGAGTCCAGACTGATTTACCGTATTTTTCGGACCATAAGGCACACCGCATTATAAGGCGCAATATCAATAAATGGGTCTATTTTCATACATAAGGCGCATTAAGTGCAAAACAAAACAGTCAGCGAAACCATTAAGCGGAACAATCAAGCATGTCCGGATCCCTGAAGTGCGGATGTTGTTTTTCAGAGAGAGTGTGTTTTGCCTGCATCGATAAAAAAGGAGAAATAAAAAGGGTTCTTGACCACGAAAAAAATCGACAGCCATGCGTCCATAGGTGGGTAGTAACGAATTACACTTACTCCGTTACATTTACTTGAGTAGGTTTTTCAAAATAAAATACTTCTAGGAGTAGAAATCACTATACTTTTTACTTTTACTGGAGTAGATTTATGAAGAAAAAACAGTACTCTTACTCCGCTACATTGGGCTATACTGAGCTTGTTACTCGTTACAGAGATACTGGATAAAGCTTTAGCTATAGTCTCTATTCTCTATAGATCCATGATCCAGTATCACTACTTTTATTTTGTCAGAGAGTTACTTCCGTCCAAGGCTCGACTGTGACCAATGAAATGTAGCCCTTGCTGCGCAGTCTCGTCACGTGACCATACTCGATCTCGGCGGGCGGGACGTATTAGTTTAGCGGTCAATATCCATCACAGCAGAAAATGGCAGAATCGGCGGTCAGCAAAGACAAGGAGGCACACCCCTGGCCTCATATAGAAAGTATGTTCACGTTACAAACAGTGCGAAAAAGCAGTTTCATCATGCTGTGTCTTCTGTGTCGGCCCAAACAGACAGATATTTCAGCTTTCAAAAGCTTATCGTCCAACCTGTGCAAACATGTTGCTGTAAGTTTGACCTACAATTTTTTTTTTCTTTTTGCTGTGGATAGGCGAATGTTTGTCCTGTTAGGTTACATGAGTACTATGTGCTGAGCACGATCTGCTTGTAGCCTCAAAGATGTGTTTTTATCCACAGGTCCAGAGGTTTGGAAGTTTTTGTTACTTGTGCTGTAATTTAGGTTATTTTGTAAATATTTAATTATTTATGTACTCTTTTTATTTCATTGATTTTTATTTTTTATTGAAGTACTTTAACTTACCTAAAGATTATTTTATTTTAGGGTATTTAATTAATTTGTTTTGTTTTATTATTTTGTTGATGGGATAAACTCTCCTCTGTAATTTTGTTTATCTGATTGAATGCACGTTAAAAAATAAATCTAAAAAATAAATGTTACTCAACAGTTACTCAGTACTTGAGTAGTTTTTTCACCATGTACTTTTTTACTCTTACTCAAGTAATTATTTAGATGACTACTTTTTACTTCCACTTGAGTAATATTATTCTGAAGTAACAGTACTTTTACTTAAGTACAATTTTTGGCTACTCTACCCACCTCTGCATGTGTCTGAGTCATCCTGCATCGCACCATACATCGGCAATACAAAAACACAATGCAGAGTCTCCGGGTGTTAGGAGGCATGACGCGACATTGCACGGATTTGGGTTACACAACCATACTGTAACCATTGTTGTTGAGCATCTTCTAATTAGGATAACAGAGTTGAACATCATTGTTGGCTCCCAGCGTGCTTCAGTTGTGTGCCATCATGTGTGATGCACTGTGTGGTTTGGCTTTATAAAATCGATTCGAGCTCAGTAAGCGCAACCAGAAGTAATACATAAGGCACACCGGGTTATAAGGCGCACTGTCAATTTTTGAGAAAATTAAAGGTTTTTAAGTGCGCCTTATAGTCCGGAAAATACTGTACTTTTAAAAGTAGAGTATGCTAACATTCTATCGTCAAATAATCCTACTAGACTAACCTCTCCAGTCATTATTTGGCACTTTATGTCTACAAGGTGCATTTGCAGGAACATCGCCCCGTGTCTGTGTTTTCTTTTTTTTATGTTTTGCAAGTGATCCAATTATTTCTGGGTGTGTTTTTATACCAGTGTGAGAATAAACTGCATCAGTAATAGTAATCCAACTGAAGAAAACATATTGGCTACAGATTGATAACCTCTAAAGGATAAACTGCATATTGCAACAACCAGAGGACTCCTCTGTTTACCCCTCACTATGCCAGGCACACAAGGCTTTCTTTCTTTGCAGGAATTGGACATCCAGCAAGATGAGTGTCATAGATTTAAAAGAATCTTTATAAAATTGTTTTTCTTTTCTTTTTTTGGCATAACTCTGTTTTATCACATATCATCTCAGTTGTACACCCTGAATCTGTCAGGATTCAATGTGAGCCTGAATCTATTTTTTGAGTAGTGGCCTTGCAATACACAAGCTTTGTTTTGCTTGTCTGTAATAAGAGATGAGATAAGAGAAATATTTAATTGTGCAGATGTGCACATAATAACACATATTTCAAGGGCATTTTGTCCTATGGTAATAAGGTAAATAGAGACTCCTCAACTAAAATGTTGATGAGTAGACTGTCACAAAAGCATTTCAAGACTGACAAACTTAAATGCAGTAACCCCACCATAAGGTAAACGACTGCACTTTGCACATCTATTTTTACCTGCAGTGTGCGACGCCTCAAAGCCTTTCTTCTGTACAGAATTATCAGAGAAGAAGCAAATAAACAGCTTGTTGCTGCTGGATGTTATGGGCTGGGGTTTCTTTGTGCCACAGAAGCGGCCCAGACTTGATGCTTTATCATCACGACCATCGTAAATCTCAATGTGATCGTAAGTACACTCCACGTGGGGTTCCAAGTCAATTTCATTGAAGGCCTGTGACACAAATAAAAAAGCATGTACATTTAATATCATGGGAAATATAAACCTAATTTCCCGTGAAGTAAGTATACTTTCTAAAAATGGCAAAGAGATTTACCACTGGGTTGCATTCCTTTTTCTCTTGGCCATACCTTTTAGTGAAGTATTTCCGGTTTTATGCAGAAATCTGATGCAGGATTATGTAAAAAACATTATTAATTAACCCAAATTAACATGTTTATAATAATTTATTATATAAATTATATAATATATATAATTTATATAAATTAACAGTTTTTAATAAAACCCTGCCATAGTTCTTAAAAAACTCTATTTTTTTCTCATAAATGATCTACTGTGTTAGTGTAATGAGTAAGAAAACCTACTGTATATATAATAATAGAATTTCACATCATTGTTGTATCAATTACTGCCATATTACTGCAAATGCACACATGTACAGAACATATCACATTTAAATAGCAACTTGGAAAACATCAAAAGTGTAGTAACACATGCAACACATACGATTTTAATACGGTGTCCTGGAGTGGTGGTTAGTGCCCAGGTGCATGCCTTCTTACTGGGGTATTTTTCAGGCCAATTAGGGCTGGTGATGATGCCACTCACGCCGTTCACAGTGTGATCGCAGCCAGCTGCAAAAAGACAACACCAAGTCAACAAGATGGCCCTTAAAGTGAAGAGGCTTCTGTGTTCGTTTCACACAAGACCACGTTGGAGAAAACACAAAAAAGAGCATAAAAGTTGCAAAGAAGGCGATTTACCTTCTTTGCAGTCATGTTTATTCTCATGTAGCACAAAGCCACTCCTGCACTGACAGCTGTAGCTCCCAAAGGTGTTGACACACTCATGTTGACAGCCGCCGTTCTCCTTGGAGCACTCGTCCTTATCTGAAGAAGCAGACATGACACAACTTTGAAGACTGATTCAATTGAAATGTATGTGAAAAAGGTGAAAGAAAACTAAATGGAAGGCTTTTATTCAGTGTTCTTCTGGTCAAATAGTCAAGTCAAAACATTTAGAAAGGCTTAAAGATTTATAGAAATATATACTGCCTGGCCAAAAAAAAAAGTCACCACCAAAAAAAAAGGTCACAATATTTAATATTTTACTAATATTTTGTTGGACCGCCTTTAGCTTTGATTACGGCACACATTCGCTGTGGCATTGTTTCGATAAGCTTCTGCAATGTCTCAAGACTTATTTCCATCCAGTGTTGCATTAATTTTTCAACAAGATCTTGCATTGATGATGGTAGAGTCTGACCGCTGCGCAAAGCCTTCTCCAGCACATCCCAAAGATTCTCAATGGGGTTAAGGTCTGGACTCTGTGGTGGCCAATCCATGTTTGAAAATTATGTTTCATGCTCCCTGAACCACTCTTTCACAATTTGAGCCCGATGAATCCTTGTATTGTCATCTTGGAATATGCCCGTGCCATCAGGGAAGAAAAAAATCCATTGATGGAATAATCTGGTCATTCAGTATATTCAGGTAGTCAGCTGTTGTTTTTCTTCGATTTGATTTCACCAAACGTTTAAGCGATTGTCATTCAGGATTTCTTTCCGGCTACATGTCTTCCTCGAAGACATGTGTCCCCACTATCCTTTCAGTTCTTAATAATGCGTTGGACAATTCTTAACCCAATTTTAGTAGTTTCTGCAATTTCCTTAGATGTTTTCTCTGCTTGATGCATGCTAATGATTTGACCCTTCTCAAACAGACTAACATCTTTTTCAAGACAACAGGATGGTCTTTCGACATGGTTGTTTAAGAAATGAGAATCAACTCCTTGCACCAGTTGGGGTTAAATAACTTGTTGCCAGCTGAAAGATAATCGTCCATGCAGTAATTATCCAATAGGAGGCTCGTAACTATTTGCTTAGTTAAATCCAGGTGGCGACTTTTTTTTTTTGGCCAGACAGTGTAGTATCATACACACAAGGGTGTATGTGTGAAAGTTTAACATTTTTGTTTGTTTATCTTTTATTTTCATAGTATCATAGCAAGAAATCTGTAAAAAGTCTCACTTTACAAAACATTCTTCAGCTGCTATTTTGTGTGTTTTTCATGTTTTATGGTTTTGCAAACTCAAAAGTCATTAATATTTACATAAAATGAGGTGAGAAAAGGTGGGAGGAGCCCTGTGTTATTAAAATTAATTTGTCATGGTGCAGATACTCATTTTGCTATGATACACTGGGCCACAAGAGACATTCCAACAGAACAGCTGTGAGGTTTCCAAAATTTAAAATGGAGGACTCAACGATGTGTTGTTGAATCACCACCATCAGATATTAAATGAGAAATTCACATTTGTCACTTCTGTTTCTAACTTTGGTAATAATTTATATCAACTTTTTTCCAAATACTCACTTAAGAAATGACAAAACAAAAATTCACAAAACATTATCCAATGCAACACTGTCTGTATCGGAACAGTCAACTTCCTGCCATGACTCAAGCAAATTATTTAACCCTTGTGCGGTCCTTCGCATTTTTGTACACATCGTTTGTCCTTGCAATGATTTTCATCTTGTCCCAGAATATGAGTATTAATGAATATGAGGAAAAGTTGGCACGTCATGCAGTACAGGAACATGCACATGCATACTCATGCACAAACACACACACACACACAGACACAAATACATATTGGAAGGACTTTACAAGGGTTAAAATAATTAAAGGATCCTCACATGGGTGAAATCAAATTTGTGGTGGTTATGCTGCGGAAGCTGTTACAGTGTGTTAATGGTGGTTAAAAATCTATATAATTAAAAGTGCATCTCTACAATGGCATTGTTCTGTAAAGCTACTGTAGTTCCTCAAACAGTCAGTAAATGTAGGATCGAGTTAAAGGTTAGTAGTGATATGCTGCACACTGGTCCTTTAACAAGCGTAGCAGCTGTAATCACCCTGTGATTATCGGTGTGATTCACTACCACTGGAGCACTCACCTGAAAAGAACTGTGCCTTGAAACCCTTTTTGGACACTGTGTTGTCAGACTTGAACTCAATGCGCATGTTGTTGTACTGAGATGTAATAGCCTCTGGCTTCTCTGCTCCACAGAACTTTCCGTGTAGCCTGGAGTCAGCTGAAAGTCCACTCCGAACCTCCACGTAGTCATACTTACAAACCTAACAAAGGTATGAAAGAAGGCCATCAGGCACGGGCATTTTATTTGTGTTAAAAAAATATATATAAGACAACGAAAACTTGAGGATGGGGGGTGAGGGGAAGAGATGACAAATGAGAAGCGAGAGATGAAGAAAGAGAACAGAACAAACCCACCCCGTGTCGATTCAAAATAACCCCAGTGCTCACGTCATTGCCCTCAGTCTCAAAGACGTCAAAGAGCAGAGTGATGCGATACTGTGTAGGGGCAACCAGCTGCCAGATGCAGTTCTTGTTTGGAGGATACTCTCTTGGCCAACCTGGACTTGTGATTGAGCCATTCAGCTTGGTGATGAATCCTCCACAAGCAGCTGTGCAAAAGAAAAACACGACATAAAACAGCGTAGAGAAGAGAAGAGGACAAATGTGGTGACAGAAAATAAACTACGGCACCATGTGTTTGCTCTGGGACATGTTCCAAATGGTATGTTGCAAACCAAATGGCTGAAATGAAAGGCCCTTTCCTGTGTCTTGAATTATCTCGATAACAGCCTGAAAGCACTTAGGCAAGCTTTGCATCAGTTGCACAATACACATGTAACCAACAGCGGCTGGAAACCCTGTCCCTCACCAGGCTTTTGACACAAATATAAATGTTCCATTTTTTTATGAACATGCAGGTGGCGAAAGGAATTAGCATTCAGCCATGTATGTTAAAAAGAAAAACCTCAGGTTACCTAAAAAAATTACCTCAAATTTTAAATATTTAGGTTATTTTTAAAATACAAATATAACCATGTTGTTGTTATTTTAATGTCTAATCTACAGCATATTTATATAAATGAATATACAGGATATATAGTTTGAGTTTAACAATAAAACATTTTTATGTGTTGTTAAAAGAATTAACCTTGTAGTATTGTGTTAAATAAATAAATAAACAAACCACTACAATACTGATAAAAAGACTTGATTAATATTTTATTAATAACATTTTTCAGGCACTAAGTTTAAAAAGAAAAAGAACAAATAATTTATAATTAGGTTAAATTAAATTGTAAGTTTTATATGATAATAAAAAGCCAGCTCCTTGCTGTAATAAAGATTTCAGAAATAAATAGTCAAGTCATTCATTTAAAGAATAAATTGTGGTAATTTGCAGCCTTTGCTGTTTGGTAATTACAGTCTTTCGCACTACAATGACTAATTGTTCAGCTCCACTACAAGGACTACAAATAAATCATGGCTTGTATATACATGACACTATATACAGGTTGTACATATTATGTCATATTATGTCTATTATGTCAAGACGAATACCAAGAGGTATAATTGTAGCAAAATATCCAATAGAAAATAATTAATTAACTTTATATCATATTTATATTGGCTATAATAAGAGAAAGAAATAGTAATGGTCAGAGGCCACATTCTGGAAAACCAGCAAAACAATTAATGAAGAGACTTGTTCTCTTCATTATTTGTTTTGCTGCAGTAAAAAATATGAACACTTATTTCTACACACACACAGATTTTCACAGAAACCGACAAAACCCACAAAGGGCAGCTGAAGGTATTGACCCTCCTGAGACGCCGCACTAACTTAAGAGGATAAGAAACAACCTCTATCCTGCCTCTGTACAACTTCCCAGCCAGGCTTATTAGCCTCAGCTGTGCAGGTGCAGCCAATTGCCAAAAAAAACAATGATCTAGATTCAAGATCACAATTACATCCTGTTGTAAATGGGCCTTGGCAAAACAGCCAGATTGGATGAGCACAGGTGTAAATAAATGATCAAAGAAATCATGGTACCAGTTCCATTAAGCTTGTGCAGCTTATAATTAAACGTATCTGCATGTTTTTGACTGTAGGGTGAAAAGTATGTAAAAGATGTCAGGTAATTAAAACCTTTCAGACAGGAAGTAATATTAGTATTTCTGAAACCAGGTTATAGACACAGTTTTTCTACTAAAACATGTCATAATGTATTTTCTAATCACAGGCTGGAGAGACTCATTTTACAAGCTGAACAACATGAAAAAGCATTAGTGAGGGGGGAATTTTCCTCTGGTGCTGCACTGATGTTGGTCAGGTACTGTTCAGTACGGCTTAAACACTCAGGTACAACAAAAACAACATGTAATTTAATATAAAAGTAATACTTGATGTGTTGTGACTCAAATCTACAAATGACAGCCCAGTCAACAAAGGCATCACTCACACCAAATCCTCAGTGGCTTTTAGAAATAACTGGATTATTATGCCTGGGTGGTTAAATGTGTTAAGTCCTTGAGCATGTAAATTGCATAGCCAGCAGAGCTGGTAGCTTTTCTCCCTGTACTTACCCTCACAGCTGCGCTTGTCAGCAGCCAGCTCATAGCCCGGGTCACAGGCACACTTGTAGCTGCCTAGTGTGTTGACACAGCGTTGCTCACAGCGACCGTTGTCCGGGTTGGAGCACTCATCCATCTCTGAAAAGACAACGATATATTGGCACCCAGTTAGTTGGCCTCCCTGCCTCAATGGTTTTACAAGAAGAACCCTTTGACACAACAGCAAGGGCAGAGAAAGAAGGTCCCAGAGATGAACCAGAAAGTAAGGGAGAGAAAACATTTACTTTAAAACTAACAGAAAAAAGATGTGACATGAGGGAATGTTTTTTTTTTTCTTTATCTTTCAAAGGGTCGACCCCCCCCTCACCTTTGAAGAAGTTGGCAGCAAGGTGGTTGGAGCTGGTTTTGATATCATCTGGTTTGTCGTAGCCACAGAAGCGGCCAAGGAGCGGGCTGTTTTCAAAGTTGCCATCACGCACTTCCAGGTAGTCATAGGCACAACTGTCATGTCTCTCAATCTGTGAAACATTAGAGACTTTGAGGTTTAGCACAAGCACCAAGTTGGCATCAAAATAATTAAAAACATTTTAAATACATCAAAAGCATAAGGGATTGGGTGGTTTTATTAAGTGCTAAAGTTTTGTAATGCAATTTTTAAATACTGAGGTACAAATGTAGGTGTAACATTGTGAGATCTGTAGATGATGTATCATGACAGATCATAGTTCCACATTATTCACTATTCTTCCCTCTCTCTGCAGGAGAGAGAGGGAAGAATAGTGACATCTTTTTGGTTTATAATTACTTTTTTATTTTATCTTTAAAAACCAACTCTTACCTCAAATGACTGGAAGGTGAGGCCTACGTGGAAGCCCTGAGCTACAGAAATCTTCCACATACACACTTTGTTGGGTTTGTAGTCATCAGGATAGTTAGGAGATTGGATCTGGCCATTGTCCTTCTTCACCTCCCCACCACAGATGGCTGCAAGTGACAGTCGGGGAAGAAAAAAGTCAAACAGAAGTGAATTTTCCGATGAAGATTTCATCAGAACATGATTTCAGTGAAAGAAACTTGCAGTTCCGATTTACGCAATCTGGATTAACTGAAATGCCTTCTCCTCGTACTAACCAACACAAAAAAGCATGCATGCACGTACACACATGTTCGAACTGTCTGGAAACAATGAAGCTGACTGTGAGGGCTGGCCAAAAATCTGATTAATGCAGTTTAAAGTGGCTGACATATCAGCAGTGGAGGAGCCAAAAACTCTGGATATTAATGCAGCTTCTAGGCACATTGTTGGATGAGCGACTGACTCAGTGTTTAGTCAGCCGAGGCGACCTGCTGGATTGGAGATCAGGAAGGTCGTGAAACGGGTGCTTACCTTCATAAACGGCGGAGAAACCTTTTCCCACCCAATTACTGCTGCTGCGGAACTCAATCCACAGGCGACTGTCTGTGGAGATGATGGGCTCGGGCAACTTATCCCCACAGAAACGACCTGGGTCAGAGGTAGAGGAGGACACAGATTAAGCACAGTGAGCTCTTTGTGATAAATGAGATCTGCTTTGAAATTATCTCACTTCGAGGAAGTTACTGGGATGAGAAGAAATATAAGACAGTGACTAAAATAAATCAGGACTAAACTCACAAAGAAGAATTAAAGCGTGCAAACGTGGCCAACCAGCTGAGATTTCTCACAGTGTTAATACAAAATTCAAACTCACAAGTTTTTATTTTAAAAAAAAGGCCTAAATTTCATTGTAACCAGATCAGCAACAAATCATCTTTAGATATTTATCCAAATCCAAATCCATACTTTTATTTATTTTTTAAGTTAAGCTGCTTACAGACTACAACCAAGCAGAAAGATAAATCATACTTACTTCTTTTTATTATGAACATGAAAGAATAATAAGATAAAGATATAGTCATGTGTTACAGTATATACAGTAAAATCAATCAATATGAAGAAATAACTTGAGCTGAAATTCAGTACTTTTGTGCCCAAGTATATCACTGCCGATGACCAGGATTAAACACAACTGTGACTTAGTCACATTTTGACAGCCTCAGGATTGTGCTTTGGGATTTTTTACAGTATAGGATTAAGAAGACACTGATAAGATTTTAGCAAAAGCTTGAATGTGATCAGATGTACTGCGAGATGTACCGCTTCTGATGCTGTGAGCACGTATTCCAAAAATGTCAGATACTTGAGTTTTGCTCAAAGCTTAAATACCAACTGTGGCCTGAAATCATTTGTTCTTGTTCAATCTGACCTTTGAGCAGTGCTTTTCTCCAGTACCCATCACGGATCTCCACGTGGTCATACCAGCACAGGTGACTCCTGTACAGATCCATGGAGGTGAAGTTCAGAATGATCTTAAAACCACAACAGAGAGGGATTATTGACACACTGTTGGCCCGAAGTCACACACTGCTGGGCAGACAGAGTGAAAAACAGAAAAAAAAAAACTTAACGTTTTTGGAAACATAAGTGTGAATCTTAAGGAGCGCAGTCTGTAGCTTAAGTTCTTTAAGGTGTTGCAAAATTGATCTGGAACTTTTCAGACACTCCTCCATACCTTTTCCCCAGGTGTGACTGATATTCTCCAGATGCAGTGCATGTAGGCTGAGTATCCATTAGGGAAACCAGGGGAAGAGAAGTTCCCGCTGCTGTCCTGCAGACTGTCCCCACATCCTGAGCAACAAAAAGACAAACACAGAAACCTGTAAGTAAGGCATGCATGTCAAAGATGTCGCTCAAGAGCCAGGCTGAGATCAACTGAGTTCAGTCTCCATGTATTTTATGTCTATCAAAACTGGTCAGGTTGTATATATTAAAGTAAATAATACGTTGTTGCATTTATCAAAAACAACTTTTTGTGATTTCAACTGCAACATGGTACAGAAATCACCATGAAGCTCAGTTTGTTCCAAGTTTTGTTAGATGAGTTGGACAAGTTTCCCTGCATGAATAATTTGTCATATTAAAGCAGAAATGTGCTAATGATCTGCTTTTGTAAAAGTATATTTAGTGAAACAAAAATTCCAGGTTTTTTCTTTTAGGTTCTTATGGTTATTGCAGCAAAATGAAACATCCACTCTATTCTGTCCTGCTGCTTGGGTAAAAAAATCTTTTTTCAGTTGTTTGTTATTATGGAGGAAATGCATGAATTCGGCTTTAATCAGTAATGACATTGTTCCTCATATGTTAAGTCTATGAAGGTTCCCATCAAAGTTTTACACACATGCAAGTGCAGGCGGCAGCTCACAATTTCCTCTATCTGAGTAACAACTTCAAAATGAACAATCTAATACATTTCCATTTTGGAATCTCATTTGGCATGATTCTGATATCACTAGAAGTTGTCGTTTGAACTAGTTTTAATCATACCCCTCTGTGTGACTGAAATTGAAACACCCACGTGTTAGCTTGATCCTGGTGCCAATAAATCTTAGGTGTCAATAAATCTCATGTCACTAAATTCTGGCCACACCAGCAGTGAACTCAGTCCCCTGTAAACCTGCTGCAGCGGCAGATGCTTGATGATGGAATTGTAAAAGTGAATGTGAAGTAGAGGGCAGCACTTTTATGTTCAAAGGCACATCTGCTGATAATATGCATCTACCACCTCAGTGCCTGTGCCTCCACCTGAAACACACAGCCGCCACTCCAGATGATGATTGCACAAAAAGGAATAGAATGAGGGACACTTTATCTGAGTGTCCTCTGAAAATAAACCTGGCCCTCTATAAATAAACCAGCTCTCTGGAAAATGTGATGCATTATGTACATATTGCTCCAGAAAAACAACAACAAAAAGGTTGTCTCACCAGCAGTGAACTCAGTCCCCTGTAAACCTGCTGCAGTGGCAGATGCTTGATGATGGAATTGTAAAAGTGAGTGAAGTAGAGGGCAGCACTTTTATGTTCAAAGGCACATCTGCTGATAATATGCATCTACTACTTCAGTGCCTGCGCCTGCTCCAGAAACAAACAGCCGCCACTCCAGACGATGATTGCACAAAAAGGAACAGAATGAGGGACACTTTATCTGAGTGTCCTCTGGAAAAAAAAAACCTGGCCCTCTATAAATAAACCAGCTCTCTGGAGGATGTGATGCATTATGTACATATTGCTCCAGAAAAAGAACAAAAAACAAAACAGCCTTTGAGTGTGACAGCCCATTCTAAACAATGCACACAGCCTATCGACAGAACTGCAGCTGCTGCCGAGTTGGGGAAAGATGTGTTTAATTAAGACTAAGAGCAAATGACAAAGGTCCATCTTGGGAGCTGTGTCTGCATTCATTATTGCCTCGGTGTTATCTTTACCTTGGGCTGAGTTTCGCAGGAGTAAGGAAAACAACTCCCTCCGACTGTTTGCATTTACTGCTCCCCCAGAGGACTTGGTGTAAGCAATAAAACGAGGAGCCCAGAGCTAGGGGTTGTGTGTAATAATGTTTGGCAGAGGTCTGCCAATACTAAACCATTAACAAGCGCTACGGCACACACTGGGGGATACAAACACTCCCAGGACTTTGGCGAAAATGGGAGATTTCTAGCTCTTTAGGGAGCCTTTTTTTCTAAGATCACAGTGAGAGGTTCCTTACATCATCCCCCAAGATGTGTGCCACATCATCCAGTCTTCTCCTAAAGGCTTGCAATAAAGAGTGAAACATTTTGACATAGACGTCCACTGTTGATTTGTCCAAGGCCAAAACATCCTGGTCTGCTCTAAGACCATCAGCTGGTTTGGTCTCTCCAGAACAATCGCTGTGTTTATGTTCTGACCTTTAATGAGAGCTTGATGGCGCAAGCTTCACTGGCCTGACCTACACTTAACTGACATAAAATCTATTGAGCAGAAGGCCTCTCTCAGTGCACTTCTGCAAAGTCTATACATTCAATTTACTTCTGCACCATTAAATTCTCTCCCTCTTCTACGTAAACAAACTTCAGAGAGGGGCCAGGATTACATAACCTTTTCTTCACGCATAGCTGCACGGTTTACGTTGTACACAGTGCTGGTTGTTATGACATGACAACAATTCCCAACAATCTTTTTAGTCATTAGCTGTGAGAGACCAGCTGTTCTTTAGGGTCTATCTGGGAAAGAGCAATGACAAACTTCCTGTCGGGTAGTGTTTACACACTACACTCCCAGCTTGGGAGCCTCGGACGCTGTAGCCAAGGAACCACACCACATCAACTGTGGATGCTCAGCTATTTCTACACAGCAAGACTTGCATCTGGGTAAGTCAGGAGGAGCTGTGGACCTCTCTCTTTCTCCCTCCTCTCTCTCGTTTTTCCTCTCTCCTTCTGCCTCTCTGTCTTTCTTTTTGCACTCACGTGCAAAAAAATAAACAGGAAAAAGCCACACCAGAGAGAATCTCTCATTTGGTCTTACTGGAGCATTTGTAGAGTTTGCGTGCCTGAGTGATGTCCCCTTTGCTCAGTCTGGTTCTCTGGCCAATGGGTGGTCGTACCCCGTTTACATCATAGCGAGGGAGGATGGTGTCCAGGAAGATGCCTCTGTAATTAAGACAGATAAAATCATAATCATTATACTCATTTACACAATCATGGTAATAAGTCAATTGTATAAAAAAGATATTGTAAAACACAAATTTTAAATCATTTTGAATGTAATAATAATATGTAATAATAATAATAGAATATGGACAACTGTTATTAAAATTTTAATACTGACAGTCGTGGCAAGTCTGAACATACTGGAGTAATTTCAGAGGCAAATACAACAAATCCATCTGCCAGATGAAAAATAAGATTGGTTGGATTTGGTATTTTAACAACTTTAACAGCGTCAGAGTCAGAATACAGACATAGATTATCAGAAGTGATGAACTTTTGTACTTTTCGCAAAAAAACATCCTGGTCCTGACTCAACAAGACACTCAAACACAAATGAAAAACCAAAATTACTGCACGTAACAGCCGTAATTTGTTTTTTATTATAGTCGAAGAATGACTTTATGCCCAAGGACCTTAAAAACTCATAACTCACATATAATTCACCTCACAGCTTCATGACTATTTAAAAAAAAGGCATCTTGACTCAACTAATATGAACTAGTTAAAGAAGACATTAAAACAACTTGACAAGAATGATATACAGGATAAAGGAGAGCACTTTGTGGACAGACATCTAAAAAAGAGAATGTTTTTCTGAGTACGCCTGCTGATCAGCAGTGGGAGTTTTAGGTAGTGCATCTGCTTTAAATTTAATTCTAGGCAGTATTTCATACACGATTTACATCTGAGAACTCTGGAAGGAGAACTACAATAAGTTCTGCCATCAACGTTAGATTAAAAGGAGTGAATTTAATTTAAAATGCCGCCAAACCCTAATTTTATTGTGATATTGTGACATAATCAATCTTTCTCAGGAACACAACAACAATGACGACAAACAACTGTGTAACATACACACTGCATTTCCTGTGAAGTCCACATCTAAATTCAGCCAGTGTTTTTTTGCAGCTGCGATAAAGCATCTGTAAAGACCCAACACTGGTTGAACAGACCAGCTGATATTTTCTACCCGCTGTCCACCTCTGTCAGCCTCCATCAGAATGTACACCCACGTAGACACGAGGGTATAATCAGGAGAGATACAAACCTTTAACTGCCTGGTCTATAATGAAAAGGGTTTAATTAAGACCATTTAATCAGAAGCCCATTTATCACTGGCATTCCCTTTTAATCTTTTACAAGTGACACAATTTAAGGCTCATCCCACTCACCCGCTTCTAAGGTCATTGGAATGCTGACCTTAAGTCTCGATTGTGATTTTTGTTTTTTAATCACAGATAAAAATGTGGTATTTTCACACAACAATATTGTAAAACAAAAACCGTAATCACACATCACACATACTTCTCTGAAATTATTTTTGCATTGCAAATGTATTTAAGGCCATATCAAATAAGAATGTTGTAAATTTTTACTAATCAAAAACAGGGATTAATATAAACTCACAATTCTCCCAATGTGCTTTTCTTATTACCACATGTGAGTAATCACATTTTTTATTGCTTTTTATTAACATTTATATAAAGATGAACACATGTTGTTCACATGAATACAAACAGCATTTATAGCAACTCCTGCAGGGAAAGGACACAAAGCAACGTGCTGTTCTGCAACAATAACACAAAACGTTTTATAAACAGCACCTTTAAACTTAAAAACGTCAACTAAAGGACTGAGCAAATCTCATAATCTAATAATATGAACCATGGTTCAATATTTATTAATTCTGGCATTTTTTTTTTGTATTGGCTAATTAATCCACATAAAGGTTTAAAAAAATATGGCACAACAGCCCACAGAGACTCTTTTCACACTACAGCCTCACTTGACACTTGGGTAGTTCATCATCTCCTGTTTTCTCTAAGTACTGGTGAGCAACGGCCTGGCTCCTTGGTTGTTCCCATGGTGACATGGCTATCAACGCCAGGCATGTACACAAAGAGCAGCCTGAGCTAACAGTGTAGACTCTGCCTGTCTGTCTACCCGTCTATCTGTCTGTCCATCTGAACCCATATGCTGGTGGTCCAGTAGAGAAAAGGAGAATCCTGTTGGTGTCACAGCAGACAAGGGCTACACTGGCAGGTCTCTATTTTAGTTGGCATTGCTCCATACACACCGTCCAGAAAAATCTCTCTGGATCAAATAAAAAAAAGGAGGCAGACGAGTTGTAAGTCAGACAACAAATCCCAGACAAAAAGCATGGGGATCAGCCCTGCTTCTTCCCAGAAGATGCGGCAAAAACATCAAGACCCACCATGAAATCATCCAAACAACACCCACTCCAGAGGCCCTGCCTTCCCACGGTGATTTACTGTAAAACATGGAGCAAACACACTGGATCCTAATGGGGCAACAAAGCAGGACACTGCCACAGGTGAATCAGCCAATTGGCTGTAAGGGAAAAGTTCTAGGAATGTCTTGTGTAAACCTTAACAGAAGCCCCCAACCTGTAGTAGAGCGCTGTGAAACATTCCCCAGCAGTGGCAGCCACCCCACCGCCCCCATGTCTAAACAATCATACTGATCAACAGAGTTCTACGAATTAGGAGAGCAGCAGGGTTGGACCTGCAGTGAAAACAGAGGACTGGGGATTATCCAAAATAAACACACTCCTGGTTGCGTAAGAACTTAACTTTTACAAATGTATTTTGGTCAAATATAGAATTCAGTAAATTGCTGTTTTATTGTAGCACAAACAGTTTATGTGAACTTGAGGGACAGGTTGTAAAAAACAAAATCAGTCAGCTGGAGTGTACAACAAGATCTCCTTGCTATCTTAGAAGTATATAACTGATTATTTAAAAAAATAATTAAAAGTGAATCATATTTGTATTTTTGAGTCATCAATAGGTTTAGGACAGGGTTCTCAAACTCAAATGGGCTGAGGGCCACTGCTGCTATAGGGGCCACATCAGTGATCGATTTCCAATAAAGATAAAACATACTGTATATTTTAGATAAAGTAGTTTTTGTTTTAATTTGAACATAAATATAAAATAATGTATAATACTACATTGTATATCTTACACCATATGTTCAAATATCTAAACATTGCTCTGTTGGCAACTGGTTTCAGAGCAGTAGAGTGTTGTTAGTTATTCATTTTAATTATAAATCAATCACTATAATAGTCTAATGTCAAGTATGACAATGACACATGAGAAGCACAACAGCTTCTTCTCAGTACAGAGTGGAGGCTGAACTGGCTGAAAAAACGGAGAAGTTTTCTACCCCTACTTAAACATGGACATTCTTGCTTGTGGGGGTGGTGAGAGATCATAAAGGCAAAAGCCTTGCAGACTGAGTTGCAATGTTTGGGTACTGCGCTGTAACAGTCCACTAAAATACATTTTTAAGAAACCGACAGATGAAAAAATATCAGTTTCTGGAGTGAGACAATAATTCTGTAAAGCCACAAACCCAGCAGAGAGAAAAGGTTGCTGTGTGCATGAGGTAAAAGTTTTGGAGTCAGATGTTACTTCACATCATGTTCCATCACTTGCATTTTTCCTGTACAGTGTAAAACAAATGAAACCCACAAGATATGAAATTATACAAATAAATGTGCACCATTCCTACTCCAGTCTGTGCAGCAGGGATTATCTTTCACCTAAATTTTGGATGCAGTCAGCCAGGCATTTCTGTGCTGTAGCCTACACTCAGCCATAGCCTCACATTGAGACAGAGACTCTCTCTCTGCTCCCCAGATTCTGTTTGCTACATGGCAGAGGCCCATACATTACATGAGGGACTTTGCACACAAGGAGCTGATCGCTGGAGTTTTTTTAATCTATATGCAACTGGCAGAGAGGTTTGAAAAATAAAAAGACGCACAACAGCTAGTTCTTATATCAGACCGAGCCTTTAATGATCTCAGTCTGGAGTCACTTGTTTTGTTTCGTTCTCATTTTGTTTGCCTGAAGATCACATTACAGCCACTACGACTTACTGCATGTTGTAGTGCAGGTGCAGCTGCATAGATGAAGTGATTGTTCTGCCTGCTCTGTAATTTTTCCCTTCTTGTTTATCTATTAAATAATGGCCAGTGTCAAATAATGTAGTTATCATACACAAAGCTGTGGACATTGATCCAGTACACTGATGCAGATGGTTACCATTTACAAAACTGGGTGTGATATCAACACTTACAAGCCTAGAAAAGCCCCTGACTTACAGACAGGTCCTCAAGAAGTCACTCTGCTTGAAAGCACAGCGGCTTTCCAACTTGCAGTCATGACTCAGGATCTGAATCTGACTCAACTTGCCCTGAGAGATCTTTTTTAGCTTTTCAGTTTCTCGGCTGGTAAATAACACTTTAATTAACAGCTTCCTAAGATGTCGAGAGTACGAGGCCAGACAGATTGTTGTTTGTCATGGGCCTTTTTCTAGTTAGTTGTTTTCCCTCTGATGCCACAGAAACCCCTGTGCAGAGCTGAATGACAGCATAGCATCTGGCAACACTTCCTGTAGCATCCACCAGGGAGGAGAGAATAAGGTCAGCTGGTGACACATGTAAGAGATTTTCAGTATGAAACACACATTTTTTAAGCAGCTCATTCACACCAGTAAAGCTCAAGTATCTATCATGAAGTAAATTGTGAGGCATTTACACTTTTAAACAAATAAATAAACTGAAGTCCCTTATTCGTCCTACAATGAGGAAATTCACAGTGGTAACAACAGCAGAGCTGCTGCAACACACACAAGGGAGGTACCATCTGGGGTTGAACCCAGGACCTTCTACATGTAAGAAGGTCCTGGGTTGAGCCCCAGAGGAACCACATACCTAAGATGGGACATCCTGTGTGAAAGCACAAACACTGACAAAGTTAAATATTTGCTACAAAACTAAATATAAATATAAATGACTTGGGGCAGTGCTCAGAATTGTAATGTGGACAAATATGAGATCTGTAGAGTGGGAAGGAAAACAAAAGTACCCTGGGATGATGCAGACAACACTTATTATTACTGCTGTG